GACAGTAAAGGAGGGGTGGCGGTGACTGGGGACCGAAGGGACGGCGACTGGAACGGGGTAGAGCGTATGGTAATGGCGCGTAATACGATCTGATTGCATTTATGATGAATGGGGGTCGCGCGGCGCGACGGCGGAATTGGCGGGGAGAGGGGCGGACGGAGCGCCGCGTGTCGAGTCGAGCGAGCAGTCGGAAATTCTGCTTGCGGTTTAATGACAGCGCCAGCTCGCTCGCTCGCTCGCTCGCTTCGTTCTCGTTCGATTTTCGACCCCTCGCGCTTCGTTCGCCCTGCCGCCGTCTCGTCGAGATCCGCACCACCCCCGAGAGACCTCTCTCCCTCTCCCCCCAGAAGCCTGCACGCGAAAGCATTCACGCACGCACGACCGCACTCGATTAGCTCAGGATGTTTATCCTAATTTGTGCCAAGTTGGAAGAAATTTTTGTTCTTGCATAAGGGTTGATTTGTTATCACAAGAAGTACCGAACGATCATTATTACATAACATTTTATATTTATTCTATTTTTTATTTTTATTTAATATTTATTCTATTAATTTTTATTAACATTTTATATTCATTAATTTTATTTTTTATTCTATTATTTATTTTATTTTTATTCTATTTTTTAGATTAATATTATTATATTTCTTGTGTAAAAGATATAAAGATGCTGAATTTGTTTGATTTTTCAATAATTATATCCTTTATACTGATGAAATATTTGGTTTTTTATCACTTTCTTTATTGTAGTTTCAATTTATTCGTTTGATTCTTTTAACAAGTAAAAAACGTTGAACTTCTAATGTCAAAAACTTTCTATAATGATAGCAGCAAGCAGAAAAATTCAAATGGTCAAAATGATGCCAAGATGATTATTAAAATTCACTTTTCGATCATGTCGCTATTTTAACGTTATTTGAATGTATTGTAACCTGTTGTTCTGCTTGGAATAATACACTTCTTGTATTGGTAATCAATTACAAAATTTGATTCATTATATTAATTTAATTTCCTGTTATTCCGTAATATATAATATGTTTTACAGAGTCAAGCGTTAAAATTTTTGCAACATTTCTTCTCATAAAGAAACACAAGAGAGGTGCTCTCTTCAGATTTTGATAAGCTTTTAATATGTTGTAATCTAGATCTAAATGAAGGACGAATTTTTGTGTGTCCATTTTTAGGTGAAACATCCCCTTTAAACAAAATCAATTATTTTCTTTAAAAATGATTAAAGATAAGAAAATTTTAATTAAACGAGTTTAAGTCTTTATAGTAATGAGAAAAAAATTAAAGAAAAATTATTTTATTAGCGTTAAAAGAATTGTTTTATTGTTATAAAATACTCTTGAAGTTATTTAATTTTTATTAAAAAATCCTTCCTTTTCTAACAAGGAAGGAATCGTCTAACAAATAAATGAAAGTAAAGATTATGAAAGATTTTAATATACGAGACGTTCGCCATTGAAAGAATTGTTTTTCACCGCGGATCCCTCGGTAAGTCCCAAGCCTCGGACACTCCGAATCCGGATCAGGAATTCTTTCATGCGCGTTTAATCCCGAATATTTTTCAGGCTTCCCCGTCTGAGAGCTACCTTCAGGAGCGACGATGCGTGGTCTCCGATAACGATTTTACGAACCGCACGTGCCCGAGGACATACGATCGTGGCATCGTCGTAAGCATCGTATCGCGCGTTTGGATCTCGTTTCCCATCGTTCGACCGCGGACGTGCGATGTCATAGACGGATATCGGGATATCGTGACGAATCACCAGCATTCGCCGGGGAAATTTCTCACCCCCGGCTGACCTCCGATATGAATGACGATCCCCTGAACTGGTTATCACGGATTTGTGGGTGCTAAGAAAAGTAGGCACGCATAAAGGTGATAATTCCGCTGCCACGTGCGTCGTAATTTCAAGTAAAATTGTATACGTAAATCGTTATTTTGTTATATCACTATGCATGATATATTAAAAATTACATATAAATGCAAACATACAGAAAGAACGACACTTTGTTAAATTAAAAATTTAGCTACAGTGAAAAAATTTACTAAATTTTAATAAATATTTATTTTAATAGTACTAATTAAACATTTGCTTAAAGTAAATGTGCTTAAGTATTTCCTCAATAAAAAAAATGATACTTAAATTGATGATTCTTGTACTAAATAAATATCTGTACCAAGTAAATATTTAATTAGTACTATTAAAGCAAAAATTTAGTAAATTTTTTTCAATGTAGATACAGATCTGAAAAGAATTTTATAAGATCATCGAAATAATTATTAGGTGTTGGAATTAATTCGTAGCGTTTTTTAATGAAAGAATGTTATTTATTTCACATGAGCATTAAAAAATACATTAATGAAAGTACTTCCCATCACTTGTAAAACGCTACGAATTAATTCCAACACCTAATATATAAAACGATTAGTGTTGATAATAACGTTACAAAAGGTTTTAACATTCTAATGACCCGTTTGCGCATCCCACATAATCATTTTGGTCCAACAAAATTATTTTAGATCCATAGATCTAGCTAAATTTTATACGCTTCAGTAAAATCGTTCTTTCCATAATGCTGATGCAAATAGAACAATATAAAATAGTCCAAGCAGAACACAAATCATCATGACACCAAAATGATTCCACAAAATGATCACTAAAAGCTAATCAATTACAATTAATTTTAACATCATTTTGATGTTATCGTGATTTGTTCTGCTTGGGATGCTTTACAGGGGCAATTTGGCGTCTGATATCAGAATTACTATCGCAGTCACGTCGGATCACTGGAAGCCAATTGGGGAACACCTCAGCGTGATTCACGGGATGGATATGTAACAGGTTCAATTGACGACATGCTACTGATGCTACACAACATGCGTCCGCGACATCGGACACCTGCGTATAACTCCCGCATGTGTCCGCGAGAATTTTCACACTCATGTTCTATTTTTCTCTTTAGAGAATATCGAAACTCTGATTGAAATTCATTTTCATAACGTACACGATCAATTTTATAACAGTAATAAATTTATGATTACTACCAAATGATTACTTGTAAACAGCACCTCAGAAGACTGATTTATTAACAAAATAATTTTACCGAATAATATGTAATCTTTAGTAATCAAAAAGAACGATGTCCACTGCGATATCGAAACTGATTTATCAGTGTTTTAATATTCTATAATAATATGTTTCGATATCTAGCAATAAAAATAATTAGTTCATTGAAAATTATATTTTTACTTAAAAACAGTTCATTTCTTCAGAGGCAAATAGCATTAAATTGATTTGTTAACAACTTTTTACAATAATAACAATACTCTCCTTGTATCTAGTATCTAGCAACAAGTTACAAAATTTAATTTATCATTGATTTAACTTCCTGTTATATATATTCAGAAAACAACGTCTGCTTTTACAAAGTTAAACGGTTTTTCCAACATTATTCCATCGGATCGGGGGGTATGTGGACACGCCATATATTGTACTTCACGTACATGTATATGGATATGCAGTGAACCAGGATTTCTCAGTGTCCCCAGAGAGTGATCGAGTGGATTGCCTTGACGCGCGCGCAACTCTCCACGCCTGAAAGTCACCTCCAAACTTCCCTCCACTGATTTTCCCTCTCTCTCTCTCTCCCCCCCCCCCCCCCCCCCCCCCCCCCCTTCCTCTTCTATTCCCTCAAAGCAGTTGTTCTTTGTTTCTTCATCACATCTCCCTCACTCTCTCTTCTTCTCACTCCCAACCTTCATCTCTCCCGACAACAAGGAACAAACGCTCTCTTGGACAAGAAGATAAGTGATCGTCGAAATTGCTCGGCTTAGCAAGAAGCTACTACGTGGTCTCAAAAAGAAGTGTCCACGTTCAACATTGTTATGTCGGCACACTTTCAGCTACCTGAAAGAGTGCAGAATACTATAGAAATCCAACGGTATCTATAAATATCCAATGGTATTTATCTGGTTTTCTGGATGCATTATTTAATTAATTATTAACAGTAATAGTATATCAATAATCGTAATAATGATGTAGAATTATTATTTACACAAATGAATCATTAAAAAGTAAACTATATTATAGTATTTACACGAATTATTAAAAATTGTTAAACTATAAAATCTAGCTTAAAATCTAAATTAAAATTGAGAAAGAACTTCCTTTTTTATTCAAGCAGACTTTATTTTGGCAGATTTCGATGTTGTCATAAAATATTAAATAATCCTATTAAAATCAGAGAGAAAGAGAAAGAGAGGGGAGAGAGAGAGAGAGAGAAAGAGAATGGGTGTATGACTAATTCTTTCATTTCATAAAAAAAAGATCTAAGAAAATAAAAATTCCAAATCTGTAAAATGGAACCTACAAATAATAGCAAATTTAAATATTTATTATAATGATTATATTATGAGATGAGGAAATTTTTATTTTTTATCACATACCATACATAATACATATACAAGTACACGATGCAAATGATCAAGATTGAAAACGAATATTAATTTCAAAACCTTACCCCTTTTTACCATTGATGTTTACATCGCCGCTAATAATTTATATACTTGTAGAAAATTTTTTAGAATGAATATATTGAATTTATAAAACAATATATTCTTAAAACTTTTACATTTGGAAACGATGTAAGCGTGTTTATCATTGTAGAATACTATATGGAATTTTTATTATAGCTTATAGTTTTCATCAATTACTTTGAGACCGTCTCATATAAAAACAGAAATAGATCTAACAGAAGTACAGTATACTTATGGAGCAATATTTCATTAATTCTACATCAACTTATACTCTGTTGCAATTAGCGAAATTATATAGTAAACCCTCGATTTTACGAACTTTTAAAAGCGATTCCACAATGACTAATATCAAAATAAATAAAAGAATAAAGATCTAATCTCTTTCAATAATTAATATAATATCTACAACGCGATAACAGACAGCTTAAAATTTCAAAAAATAAAGTAGACTTCTTAGTAAAAGAATGCTTCATCTATTAATCTAATGAACATTTGCTTATCTATTCACAAAGGTTTCGTCAGGTACGAGTGTGTCTCAAATCTCGAAATTGCGTGTTGTACGACGTTAACCTTAATGTTTTTTTCACTTAATCAATTCATTAAATCGAAGATCTACCGTATCATGATATATATTAGAATTATGTTATATATACAAGTTTCCCATATAGCACAGAATTTGCAGCAATATCGCTGCGAAATCTCTGCAATATTGCTGCAATGGTACAGTAGTGTTGCTGCAACTTTTGTGATGTAGGGATTATGTCGTATTTAAATAAATATGTGTGTTAATCGCGCGCTCAGATAAATACCTATATTTATCAATTTCAAAATTACGAAATGCAAATGATACTATGATGCATCGTGAGCTTAAGTATTCGAATAATTCGATGCAGTATTTACTAAAAACAGACGAATATCATACCATCGAATTCCATATACAGTTGGATACATTGTATCATATTTTTTAAAATATCGTTAACCTGGAAACTGGAACTGAAAAGCACTACTGGGGAAACCTCCATCTTGAAATTGGAATTGGAAGCCTCCATCTTGACCACAGAAGAAGTGGAACATTTGATTTGGATCCATATCTGGAAAAACAGATAAAAGAATATATGTACAATTTAATAGTAATAAAATGGATGTAATATATTAATTAAAATAATACACACAGAAAAAGGTTGATACCAACCTTGGAAACCACCCTCGTTATCATCTAAATCATGACCGCGATCATAGCGAGATCGTTTCTTGGGGTCCGAGAGAATTCCATAAGCTTCTCCGACTTCCTTAAACTTTTTTTCTTGTTCTCTTTTCTCCCCTTCACTGGCGTTAACATGACGATCTGTAAAATATAAGGTATAATAATATAAAGCCACATTTATAATTACATTTTTCAACAAACAAAATATCTATTCCTTACCTGGATGGTGATCCAGAGCCCGTTTCCTATAAGCTTTCTTAATATCTTCGGTAGATGCATTTTTGTCAATACCTAAAATCTTATAATAATCTTTTCTTTTAGATTTCCTCAATAGCAATTTAGCTTTTCCGAGTAATCGTTTCGTTTCTGAGAAAATTATAAAAAATATACATAACACGTTAAGATATAAACTATTATTAATATTCCATCCTATTATATATTAGAATTGACAAACAATGATTCATACCGCGATTAGTTTTATCCATTTTACACGCTTTTTCAAGATCATAAACTGCCTCTTCATATTCTTCAAGTTCCATATAAATATTCGCTCTTTTCGAAAGAGCTTTTAGATAATTTTCATTGAGATTTAAAGCTTTTGTGTATTCTGCTACAGATTCATTTAACTTTCCTAACTACAAAAAACAACAAAATAAATATATTTATGCAAACATTTTTTTTAAGTATAATACCTTAGCTGCAGCTGTCGCCTTATTAAAATGCAACTTAGCATTAGTCATAATGTTGTGTGGATCAATAGTTAAGGCTTCATTATAAAGATTATAAGCCTCTTGATACTGTTCTCTTTTAAATGCTGCATTTCCTTCTTCTTTTTTCTTCTTCAAACATTTTGCTCTCTATAATAGAAAAAGAAGAGTGTATAGAATTAATGCAGCATATTACTAATTATATAGTTGGAAAATTAATATGAATTAGAGAAAAATTATTTTTATTTTATCTTCTTACTTTGTATATTTCCAATGCTTTATCATGATCTGGTGCAAGACGCAGTACTTGTTGGAAATGTGTAAAAGCTCTATCAACATCGTCTTGAAAGTACAAACACATTCCACGAATGTATAACGCTTCAGCGTTCTGTTTATCGATGTGTAAAGCATTACTAAGATAAGATAAAAAATAATACGACTTTAATTAAAAAATAATAAGATTTATATAAATAATAATTATTATACTATTGATTTAGCATGATAATTTACTTTGCAATATCTTGAGCTTCCTGATATCTTCCTAAAAGCGCCAGACATTCTGCTTTGATCAATTTAAACCGTGTTCCAGATGTACTTATATCACAACAACGATCCATACAATATACAACCTATGGAACATGATTCCAATAATTATATATACACATATACACACACACACACACACACACACACAAATATATAAGAATATTATATACAAATCGATTATTAATAGATGTTATCGGAAACATGTTATCAGAACAAATTCTGTTACCATGCGATAATCCTTGGCATTGTAAGCAGCATCAGCATCCTTAAGGAATTTTTTTACATATGCTATGTCTTTTTGTTCTGCAGCTATTGACTCGTTATTAGAATCAAAGTCCATCAATTTCTTTAATGATGTCTCAGCTTCTAAAATGTCTCCCAAAATCAAGCAACACTTGATCATTCTTATATATGCCTGGAATGTAAACAAAAAGTAAATTTATTGATTCATTATAATATAATTAATTAGTTAAAAAATCATCAAACGTACTTTAGAAAATGTTGGTTCCAGTTCAATACATTTTTTAGCATCTGCTAGTGCATCTCGGTATTGCCCAAGCATCATGTAACATGCTGCTCTATTACTGTAGTAATGCGATATATCAGGACACAATGCTGAAAAATATTTTGGGTTCATTATAGTTATTTACAAAAATTTATAATTAGTAAAATTTAAAAAAAGATTTAATATTATTAGGAAATTAATTTTTCCTTATTTATTCCTCCTTTATTTTCCTTATTTTCCTTATTTTGCCAAATAAGTCAACTAATAGTTAGAGATCTCAGCTATTCAATATTTTTGAGGAGAGAAATAAATTTTATTGAATGATATAAAAATTAAATGAGGTATCATTAAAATAACATGCTGATATAAAAATAGTATCGGGGATAAAATCATGGGTGTGTTCTGTTGCACATATAATACGCATGAAGTATTATTTTATCCTTGTTTTAAACTCTGAGAACAAGGATAAAATGATACCTCATGCATAAGTCTGGATTTACAATAGGTATTTTAAGCCTTAAGCCATAAAAAATTGACCATAGTTGAATGCGACAAGAAATGAACCTGTAATTCGTCCATTTCTTAGAGGTTAAGGCTTAAAAATCTATTGTAGATCCAGACTTATGCGTGCAACAGACCATAGGCATGTTAAAACAGTAAATATTTACATAATACTGTTAGAACACTTACCAATAACTTCATTGTAACCAACCAATGCTTTCTTGTACTGTTTTTGTGAATAATGTTGATTAGCAACTTTCTTTTTTGATTCTGCCAATCTGTAAATATAATATATAAATAATAATATTAATAAATGTTACTAATAGAAGACAATAATAATAACATAGTCTCATATAACAATAAATATAGTCTCTTAAAAAAAATATACATAAATCTAAATAAGAAGACCATTATCTCGGAAATAATGGCAGATAAAATTTCACAGGACTATTCCAATTTCTGTTGGTAAGACGAAAAACCTTTCAAAACCATATCATCATTATAGAAAAAACCGATCTCAACATCTAGACCTATACATAATTCTTTTTGTCAAACTGTTTAACTACATTACAAAACTGATATGTCTCTATACATACAGCATTCCAACATATTTCCAGCAATATTACAGTAATACATGAATAAGTGTTTTATTTATTCCATAGATTAAAGATGCGTTATTTACTGTTGTCCATTTCTATGTGTTAACTTTAATATTGGTTTAACTTGCTTTTTATTTTCTTCTAGTTTTAAGAATTAGAAAAAGATGAAGACTATATTTTTGTAAATTATTTCGAAATTAAAGTCAATCTACATTGACAAAAATATATCTATAAATACTGAAAATCTATCAAAAAAAAGTAACATGAAAAACAAATAATTCAAAGGTTTTAATGTGAATAAATGATAATTTACCTTTGTTCTCACTGAATATTAAACAAAAATAAAATACATCATGCCCAATTGTGCTTTACAGAATTAAAGGCAAAATATAAGATAAGATTCCTAATTAAAAAAAAGAAAGAATTGTCTTTTAACATTTTGACATATAAATACTTATATGCACGCTACAGCATTGCTACAATGTGCTTGCTAAAATATTCCATGTTACTTGGGTCCAAAAGACTGCATATACATTTATATTCAATAATTGTATGAACGTAGATGATTCTTTTTTCAAAATAAGAATTTCAAGCATCTCTATTTCTGTAAGTAAAACTGTTGCGTTAACCTTGTCATTCTCCCGAATCATAATATTATTCACAAAATAAACAGAATACTTGTAACGATTGGACGCATTAAGTGCGGTTGGCGCACTAGTACATATTAAAGCTGTTATACACTGATCTAATCTGTGTAAAAGTAAGATGCAAATATTTGGAATTATAAAATACAAATTTTACTTAATAACACAATAAAATATTGAGAATTTCATGGTATAACCCATTCTTATATTTATATTAAACACACATTTTTACATCAATTTGTACATGATGGCTTTAATGTGCACTGAGTGCAATCGAAGTTGTTATCGGTTATCATTTATATAAAAGGACAAAGCATGGTATATATTCGACGTACTCAAAGCTAATTAGTTACAGAGAGTCCAAGTGTCGCAAGAGCGATATATAAATAGAAAATGCTCGTAAGGGAGCTTCCTGGTTTTATCCGTCCATATGACGCAATTACAAATCAGATTACAGGAAAACGCGTCCATGGCGTTTTTCTTGTAAAAGTGACAACTCACTCTTTTGTGCTCTCCGGTGTTTCTGTAACGTTAGTCGCCAAGTCTGGAACAACGTTGATCGGTTGATCAGACGACGCCATGGCCGTATTCCTTAATAAACGAGACAGGCAGACCGACGTTGGTATGCACCGTGAAAACAGGTGAGATTTTCCCTGCTCTGGATTTTGCTGTCGAGAAATAGAAAAGATTCACGAATGATTATGACCAGCGATACGCATTAACATACCGCGTTGGCGTAACCCAAAGACGCGGATCAACGTGTTCCTCCTTGCTCCTCCTTTCTTTAGGTCTGTTCTTTTTCCATCCCAAATTTTGAATTGGCGTACACTGGTACAATAAGGGTGAAATCACACAAGTTCGGACAGAGAGAAACCTGAGAGAGGATATGACAGCCCAAAACCTGTAACCACAAAATGCTACCGCGCACTACTGCTCTCTGACAAAATGGATATAAACTACATAGCAACGTCCACTTTTCTTAGGGTACATCGTCCATTTTCAGCCTTGAAAAATGGACGTTACTATGTAGTTTACATCCACTTTGTCAGAGAGCAGTACGTGCGCGGCAGTATTTTGCGGTTACAGGTTGAGTCGTCTTGTCCTCCTTCAGGTTTCTCTCTGATGATAGCATCAAATTATTAAAATTGCTTGTCAATTTATTTCGCGATTACTAAAGTAGTTTCATCGCGTTTATAAGAGGTGCGTTCGGCATTGCAAATAAGAGGCGTCCGTTTGTTCTTTTACCTTGAAAATCATTAGGCAACTCGCATCTTTCTGCTACATATCATCTCATGACTCATCTACGATCGGTATTAACATTTTTAGAGCCAATCGAGCTGCTCGATTCACTCCGGATTCAAATATCGAGCTCGCAGAGCTAATGCAGATTTTCATGCCTAAATTAAATTCATAACCTGTATATTTATGATAAAGTATCCAACTGATTCATTAACATAACGTACATTCATCTCTTTTAATACTTTCTATTTTACAAATAATATATTTGAATTGTTATAATGTCTGGGTCTACAAACGCTCAAACAAATGCTATCAAATAGAAATTAATGGAGTACATTATGTACAATATTTAATGATGAGTAAGTTTTTAATTCTTTTTCTCTTTATGAATTTGAAGTTAAGTTATTTGAAAACAAAGAATTTATGTTAATTTTAGTTAATTTTTAAATCAAAGCTTATGTTGCATATATAGAAATGAAATAAAATCAAACTGCATTAATATATTAAAGACTCTAACAAATATAAATCAAGTGATATAACTTATAAATTGCAGAAATTTATTTTCTTTTAAGAAAACATCTTGCATATGAGACTACTACATTCATGTAACGATCTATTTTTAGTATATATAAGACTATTATCAGTTTCTAGTAAAACGAAAGAAATTTTCGATTAATAGAGTATATTTTTTATTTATCCATAAAAACAATTTCATTTTATAATCTAACTTTAAAGGATAGTTTACAGGTCTAACATTCGGAATTAATTCTTGGCACTCGAATTGCTCGAAAATCACGTCATCAAGCTCGCCATCTGCTAGCTCGTATCTCAGATTTACATTGCCGAACGTATCTAAATCCGGAAAAACAATTTGACACGCAGTTTGAAAAGACTACAATATGGTATATATTGTATTTAAAGCAATGAAGATCCAGCTTCGACCGTAATATTAAATTTCTAGCATTTTAAATTTCTAGTATTGATTGTGATCGATTTTAATTATTGCCATTCTTTCTCTCCTAGTACTCGCCGGAGCAATTACCATATTACTAACAGATCGAAATTTAAATATCATTCTTTGATTCATCTGGAGATGAAGATCTATTCTATTTTATATCAACACTTATTTTGATTTTTCGGACACTGAAGTTTATATATCGGAGTATATAAGATTAGCGAAACTATCCTTCTTCTTCTTCTTCTTCTTGTCGATGGATTTCTAATTTCTTATAGAAATCACAGCACCTCACTTCCAAATAAAGATTACTGGGCTGAAAGGGGCTAGTCAAATCAATGTATCATTTTAATAAAACTACCATTCACAATGCGTTTGTGAATGCCACGATGAGATATGAGAGTGGGAGCGAGAGAAGGAGAAGATGTGAAAGACGATAACCGAAATGTAAGTATTTATTTGCCATTTACTTGTGAAATTAATCATTCTCGGATCAGTCATATACGAGACACAAATGGTACCTTCCGCGCTATTTTATAGCGATCTATACAAAAGATGTATTTTTTTTTATTGTATTCTTTTCGTTTCAAGCAGTGATGGATACATAATTCGTTATTTAGCGTTATTTTATTATACATTTAGTGAAAAATGAAAATAAGTAATACATGCATATCGTGTATGAAACGGAATATATCCTTTAACAAAAAATTTTGCACTTAGGTTTTTTTGTTAAAAAATGTATATATTTTGATAATTTAACATTTTTTTAAAATTAATTGTATTTATATAATATATATTTATATATTTATATAATTTTTGTACTAGGATGTGAGAAAATATTTTTTTTTAAGTCTTTTTTAATCTTTGAAATGTGTTATATTTTGAAATACATAATACCGAAATAAAACTTACGAAATTTTTAAATAATTGGCAATTAACAAATTTGACAGTAGAATAAATTTGATTTATTTAAAATGTCCATTTAAATATACTTCTGACTATTTTGTACTAAAACAATAGTCAAAGTTACCAAGAGAGAATTTATTATTATTGTTTGTACAAAAATACATTTTTTTTAATTGCAAAATTTTAAGAATTTTAGAACTTATTATTTTTTTCAAAGTATACAGTAATTAAAGATAAAATTTTTACTTTTTTATTAAACTTACTTAAGAACTTACAATTATAATATTTATATAAAAAATATTTTAAAAATTACATAATTCTAACTAATTACTCTGATCTTTTATTTCTGCATGAATATGATTAAACTCTTGTTTATTCTCTTGCTTAATTAATAGTTTATGAAAATATTTGCGTAAGAAAATACCAAATATCTTTCCAATTTTTATATAAAGATGCAGTATTAAAACTCACAAAATTTAAAAAGAATATCATTTTTACATAAAAATAAATTACAATCTTCTGTTTTGATGTAAAAAGAAACATACACGATTAAAAATTAAAAGAAGATATTTAAGGATGCCGAAAATAGGCCCACAGACCGCCTTTTGGTGTTGGTAATATGGTGCCAGGAATCAATTTTAAAGGCATTTGCGTCTTCAGGGATAGTTCCAGCTTGTATTTTCTCACAATCATAGCCAAACCTGCCTTTATCTGCAGCTGGGCCATTCTCATGCCCACACAGATTCGCGGGCCTTCGCCGAATGGAAGAAAGGTGAATCTATCAATGTTGTGTTTTCTGTCCGAGTTGAATCTTTCAGGATCGTATTCTTCCGGATTTTCCCAATATTGAGGATCTTTGTGGAGAGCTTGAACTGATATCAAAATCTTCATTCCAGGTGGCACGCGACAGACAACTCCATCGGATCCTTTCAGTTCGAACTCTTCTGTGCATCGTTTCTTCATCAATAATGCTGCGGGTACCAACCTCATCGTTTCGTTGATGACCTGATCCATGTACGTCATCTCCCTCAAGCCTTCATACGTGATTTCGCTATCGTATTTGTTGAACACGGATACCACTTCCTCGTGTAATTTCTCTTGTATTTTTGGATAACGGGCCAAATAAAATCCAACGAAGCTCATAACAGTGCTGGACGTTTCGTAGCCATCGAGAACGAATGACATTGCCTGACCTGTGAGCATTTCATTGTCGAATTTATCCCCTTCTGCTCGCTCCAGTTCAGCCATCAAATGGAGGAAATCGTTTTTAGGTATTCTGTCCTTTCTCCTTTGCTCCATGAGTTCTGCAACCAATGTTCTGAAGAAATTGTCGACGTGCTTCGGGATTAGGCCTAGTTTGAAGATTTTATTTAACGACGGAATGAGAAATATGAGAACGAACATAATCCTACTTCGTTTGGACGGTTTGAAGATGGCTTGTCCGAGTTTTCTGAAAGATACATCTTTTTTGTCATCATCAAAGCAATATCCATCTACACCGAAGCCAGCAGCAGCTACCACCTGCGCGGAGTATTTGGAAAATAAGCTCTTCAGTTCGAACTCTGTCTCTCTGTTACTTAATTTTCTGTCCATGTAATTCTCCATCATCGCACACACCTTTTTAACGCTTTCAAGCAGAATCTTCAGTCGCATGCTGGAAAATGCGTATGTTAATCGCTTTCTGCTGTTCAACCACTTCTCACCGGAAAGGCCGAAGGGATTATATGATAGGAGGCTGTCTGATTCTTCATCAATATGAATAGCATTTTCAGCAAAACTTGAAAAATGGGTTTGCAGCACCACTTTCACTAGTGCTGGTTCGATGATCATTAACGCCGGTGATGTAAAGTCATAGATCCCGACCATGCTGTGACCTTTATTGTCCTTATAGATCTTGCAATAGAAATCGGCGATGTGCGTCTTCATGCAGATCACCGATAACATGTTACCGAATCCCGGCAAGGCTCCATCCACATATGGAACTTCACGTTTTTGCCAGTACTTGTAATTTCGCGTCAGATAAAAGTAAAAGACTATAAATGCCCCGAGAATCAGAGACACTAGCACGACAGTCATGTTGCTCTCTCGTATGACAAGTAACGTTTGATGGGATAAATTGATGTGACCCTGACTACGTATCTGCGACTGGTCGTGATATAATAAAATTGTTGACGATAAAGTACAATAATAGCGTTGATAAAACGAGCGAAACTGATCATGCTTGTGTGTGTGTAGCTACTGATTTCGCCACATTCCGCCAGAAGTGTTATTCTGTAACTGTTTTACACATCTATCAACAGTTGTCGGTCTCGTTGCGTAGTTTTTTCACCATATAAAATATCTACGCAACGACATCGACAACTGTAGGTAGACATGTAAAGGTATAAGTTACGGAATCGCGCCTCAGGCCGCCATCTGATTCTGTGTCACTCTGGTCTAGTATTCAGGTTTAAAATTGAAATATTTGTTGTAGATACTGCAAAGAATTGCAAGAAATGGATTTTTTAAAAATATATAATTAACGATCTGCAGCATAAAAAAAGTTCAAGATCATGTTTCAAACGTAGAAGAAGATTACAAAAACAAGTATAGTAACTAGACGAACATCAATGTAGTTAGTACTAATAATATAGAAATACCCACATTATTTAATTATTTGTCAGTTTAATTTTTGATACTATTATCCCAATTTCAATTAGGGATTATTTTTCGAGAATCGATCGAATTGATCGAAAATTGAATCAGCGCGCAGTTTATAGAACTATATAGATATGTATATAAATTCACACTAAAATATTATCAAATACTATAAAGATCCTTTTAATCCGAATAAGGCATTTTTCTATCTATTTCTATTTATACTTAATATTTTTGAAAAAAAATTTTACGCCATTTTTCGTTTATTTAATTTTGAAATGTAATTCTTTCTATATATTATTATTTTCCAGTTGTCATTTGAACTGCAGTGACAACTGTACCTCCTGTCTCTGTAGAGAATATGATAGTACTTGCTTCCGAATTATCTGCGGAAGAAGAAAGAATGTTAGTTCCTTAGCATACAGAATCGGACGTTGAATTGGAATCATTACATTTGTAAGAGCTCATGATTTTTTAATGTTAATTTTTTTCTCAATTTTTTTAATATCCCTTCATTTTATTTTCTTTTTTCTTAATATTAAATGATATTATTTCAGCCCTGTTGAACATAAGTAAGATAAAAAAAGAACACCAAGTAACATGATGAAAACTTCGAAGATTCAGAAATTCCATTAAAAAGACAGCGATTACTTCAAAAACGACATACATTTCAAAATCTTCTGACATATATTTTGAATTTTTTTTTATTCATCAAGTAGAAAAGCTAGACATAATAATATTTTTAATTTGACAGTTTTCGTAAATGGATATTTAAATATGAAAATCACATTAATCAAAATTTTAAAGGAAGGATAGAATTTATATTATTTTGTCGTATCCTAATAATCGCATAATTCTCTCTATGAAACCTAGCATATTATTATTTCAAAAAATTTGATTGTTATTAATAATATAAAATTATTTTTACTATCAGTTCTATCGAAACTTTGCAATTTGTATTGACAAGTCATGAGATTTGGAATTTATCAGAAGTTTTGTGGCGTAACGAGTTGCGCATCCAGTTCAGTCAACTTATTCCAGAGAACACATACATGAAGAGCGCTATTATTGCTTTCAAAATACTTCTTGTAAGCATTGCAACGTATTTTCCATTATTAAAAAAAAAAAAATACTGGCAATTTTATGTATCTTACTATATCACTACATTTTTTCTTATTGCATCAAAATCTAACATTACACAATTCATATTTATAGAATTTCATGCACAGAAGAAGATCATGTTGCAGCAGATTGACAATGAGCGCTTTAAAACTCTATGGATTTCGAAGTACAAGGAAAATTAAACTGAGATATAATATAAGTGATCAGATATACATATATATTAACTAATTATTAATATAAATATTGATATTAATTGTAATAATTTGCATCATGGAATTTATTTTTATTATTTCTAAAAAATGCTTCTATTTTTTTGTGTTTGATTTATGCGTAAAGTATTTATCTTTTGATTTTGTAAGATTATATTTTTGCCTTCCACTTTTATTGCTTTATACTAAATCGTTAAAATAATACAAAAATATCAATGTGAAAAATCATCAAAATTAAAAAAAATTAATTTTCATATATACTGCAGAGGAAGCGCGGCACTTTATTTTGGAATGTATAATCGATAATAAGCAGCTTAAGAACATCATATTACGAACCTAAAAATTAAAAGAAGAAATTGACATCTATTTAAATAAGATGAAGAAATCAATCTTTTTAGAGTGCTAAATAAATGATATTTTAACAATAATATTAAAGTGATAATAAAATAATTAGTCTTACTGCTGTATGATATTATATAAAATTCTTTTTTATTTTTTGTTTATATACTTAAATTTAATATTAATCTTCACATAACAAAACTATAATAAAGCATTATATATATATATATATATATTATTTCAAATTTACTAGGTTATTTATAATTTCATTAGTCAACATCTAGCGAATTTTGTTCATTTTTTGTAATTTTCAAGATACGGAATTGACCTTTTTGAGCTTACACGTGAAGTTTCATTCGTATTGGGAACATACTCGAAAAGCATGTTTGCGATCTATAACATTTGCGCATCAAGACTGTTGATTATTGGGTTTATATTTATATTGTATTTATTTATATCCGTATTCATAGTCAGACCTTGTACTTAAGGCTTCCTTAAATTTATCTTTAGATGTTCAGCAGCCAATGAAATAATTCGTAGAGTATCTAAAGATAAATTTAAGAAAGCTTTAAATATAAGGCCTGATTATGAATATGAGTATTAGACCTGGTTGCACCAACGTTACTTTAATTAACCGAGCGAGGCTTAAAATTCTCCTTGTCCCTGTCTCTTTTCGGTCTTAAAACGAGATAGAGAGAGTTTTAAGTTTCGCTTAAAATCGAAGTAACGTTGGTACAACTGAACCTAAGGAACCAAAAGCAAGGACCAATCGTATTCAAGAATTTAACAACAGTTGCAAAGCTGCTTTTTCTACTGAACGTAGCTAATAGTAATCGATAACAGGCGCCATGAATCGACGCCTCTCCTGCCTTACCGATTAGGCAAACGACAGGTGTGACGTCACGCGTCGACCGTCCCGCGATGCGTATCGGGAAACACGGGAGATCTGCCATCTTGAATGGCATGGCTCGTCTACACAGTGCGTGATGAAGGAGAAATGCGAGCTTTAGTGCGGACGTTTCGCTGGTATTACGCTACGTTGAGATCCGCGTGAAACTTAACGACGACCGTGACGCGAGGAGGCTCTCTCCCTGCCCCACGCGATGGAGGCGGTGAAGGCGTTTAATGGGGAGGTAAGTAACACCCCGAGGTCCCTCCGCTTGTACGCGCACGTCTTAGAGGTCACCGTCGTAGGGGCAGCTCTCCCTCTCTACGCTGCTCGCATTCAACTTTGCTCTTTCTGCCTCGTATCTCATTCTGAATCTCGTGAGAAAATCGCAAGAACCTTTGCGATAAAAGAAAAAAAATGATGCGTTGTCCCCCCCGAATCTTCCCCTTGGCTATAGTCAGTGTTGCTCCCGTTCGATTTTGACGAAAGGGTATCCTCGCTGGAGACGCAACTCCGTTGAGACTCTTCGGAAAATCACGATCACGATGAAGGTTGAATGGTTCCTGATCGCTGGGACTTGGTGCGACTTGTTTATGAAGGCCACTTGCCGATTTCGATTGAATCAGTGATCGCGGTTTTGTTGAGCGAATAGCTAGTTGTATTTCTGAATTATGGGATGATAAAGCAAGCAAGCACGTGTGATATTGTGATCTGTACGTAATTAATCTTTCCAGACAACACGCATCGTCCAGAAGATCTCTTCTTGTCTTAGATATCTTGTAGATATATATGCTCTAAAAGTTGTTTTTCTGTCTTGTCTTGTCTTGTTTTTACAACGTCTTTGGACATGCATGTTGTCTGGGTTTCGCGATGCTAAAAATTACTTCGAGATCTCGGTTAGAAATAAAATTAACAAGTCACATTTGAATTATTTACAATCTTGACCAGCAGTTGACCAGTTGATTGTGTATCTTGAAATAAGGTGAAAATTACAAAAGTGAACAAATTCATTAGATATTGATCAATTAAATTATGAATATTTTGGTAAATTTACATACTTTTGTAATTTTCACCTCATTTCGAGATACACAATTGCTTCTCGTGGATGTAATGATTCACTAGCTGCATTCGGAAAGAGACACTACTAACGCTGCTTGTGTCATTCTATCCTTGTTTTATGTAATAATAATTAACAAAGATAGAATGACACAAATAACGCTAATAATGTCTCTCCGAACGCATCCACTGTGTTACACCATGTCCTCTGTGTCTCTTATTGGAAGCCCTCTTTGGTCGATATTTGTAGTTGATTCTTGTATTTAAGACTGTCTTAAGTACAATCTTAAGATATCATGAACTAATAGAGCCATATTAGCATTACTTAAAATATTACTTGAGGTCTTGAAATAAAAATTATGATTGCCAGCCTTATGATATACTTATACTATTGAGGGTCAATCGTTGTAAAAATATGAAGAGCAAAAATATGAAGAGTACAATTTTTTATGTATGTACACACACACACACACACACACACACACACACACACACACACACACAAAAGCAACAAATTTTTATCATTTCACATTTCGTTTTACATTTCCACTCTAGGAACAAAATTACATGATTAATTGTATTTAAAATGCTGCAGCTTTTGGCAGCATATGAATAGAGATATGTTGATATTTACCTTTTATTGAAATATACATTAATTCATATTCACACTTTTATCAATAAATACATGCATATAATTTATATTACATATACTATAAAACTTTAGAAATAAATACACATAAAAGATAAATTACATAAATGATACATTTTAATTCTTACTAATGGGACTCCGTTTATCCGAACATATTAAGGCCCGATTTTACAATATATGGTTACCTAAAGATTAAAGGAAACTAAGAAATTCATTGAATGAATTTCATTGATAAATGTTGGTAACCTTTAATCTTTAGGTAACCATATATTGTGAAAACAGGCCTAAGAAATAATACATTGTAGGGGACAATAGTTTTGTGAATTATTCATATATTAGAATTTCATGGACTTTTTATCAATACTTATCAGTTCTGACAATAGGAGTTAATCTCGACATGCTCCTTCTTTTATTTAGTTTTGTGAAGGTTATGCAAGCAGTGTTACAATTCAAATAACAGATGCTCAGATATAGATTTGATTTTTTTTTTTTTTTTTTTTTTAATAAACTGAATTAATGTATATTTTTGGAACTTAAAATGATATTTGATATTTGACAAAAACAAGGAGAAAAGTTCTAGTGCAGGAATAAAAAAAAGTAGGTCTTATAAGTTCGGATATTTGAAACTAAGCACAAACTTATTGTATATAAATGTGTGCAGATGAAGAAATTCTACTATATATTGCTTCTTTAGAAGATATAATTAATCAAGATTTAATTTTGCAGCTCTCTGCTCTTTACGATGTCAAACCCCCAATCTCGAAAGCCAAAATGAATTCGCTTACACGGGGAGCCATCAAAGCAATAAAATTCTACAAGCACGTTGTACAAAGCGTAGAAAAATTTATTCAAAAAGTAAATATCTATTCAAATTTTCTCTTGGCCATATACATGTACGTGTATTTTATAATTTATTTTATTTTGTTTTAGTGCAAGCCGGAGTACAAAGTACCAGGATTGTATGTAATAGATTCAATTGTTCGACAGTCCCGACATCAGTTTGGGATGGAGAAAGATGTGTTCGCTCCACGATTTGCAAAAAATATGCAGACTACCTTTCTTAATCTTTTAAAGTGCCCACAAGAAGACAAGAGCAAAGTTATACGTGTATTAAATCTTTGGCAAAAGAATGCAGTTTTTCCACCAGAAGTTATTCAACCACTTTTTGATTTGGCAGATCCGAATCATCCTATACATAAAGAACAGCCAGTAAATAGCAATGGTAAATATAAAAAATACAATTAAAAATGTATGTGAAATTAATAAATAATATAAATATAGGCATTATGTCTAATTCAGACTGGATGCAGTTAA